TACTTGGTTGGGTCTGAGCGGCTGTGGGACTGGCGGGTGACAAAGATTTGTCCTGACTGTGGGCAAGGCAGGAAAACTCTAGCTACAGTAACATCATTATATAATCCCAGTTTCTAGATTACAAATAAAGGAGAAAGAGAGCTGGATACTAGAGTTCTTACTTTGTTTCTTGACAAAAGACAAAATGCAACCAGCTTCCTCAGGCTCCTGTTACCATAACTTCTGTATGGGGCTGGACTGTAACCTTGAGATATCAGTCAAGATACATTCCCCCTTCTTTAAGTTTCTTTGGTTGAATATTTTTTGTTGTAGCAACAAGAAAATTTACTAAAACAATAGCATCCCAGAATAGTGGCCCATCACTGTTTGTAACAATGGTGAGTTAGAGAGATGGATCTCTCTTTAGAGTTCTGTTGCTATGACTCCAGAAAATATATTTGCTTTGAATGCAATTACCTTCCACTGTATAGTGCTGTGGGATGTCTTTCTGTACACCGTGAATATGTGTTTCTCCTGATTGGTTGATAACTAAAACACTGATTGGCCAGTAGCCAGACAGGAAGTATAAGCAGGGCTAGCAGATGAGAAGAATTCTGGGAAGAGGAAGGACTGGGTCAGGAGTCACCAGCTAGACACAGAGGAAGCAAGATGTCAAGGCAAAACTGAGAAAAGGTACCAAGCCACATGGCTAAACATAGGTAAGAATTATAGGTTAATTTAAGTGTAAGAGCTAGTCAGAAATAAGCCTGAGCTAATGGCCGAGCAGTTATAATTAATATAAGCTTCTGAGTGATTATTTTATAAGCAGGCCACAAGCCTGCAGGGGCTTGGTGGGACCAGACTGCAGTATATTCTTGTATGGTTTTAGAATGACATAAACTTCTCAGTGTCAGTAGCTTTCATCTACTTGCAGCAGAAAATGATACGACTAGTTACTGCACATGGCTAATTTTCAAAGTCTTCACAAGATATTTGCTCAGTTCAACTTCACTCTCCCACATTAGCCAATCTGGCTATCATTTTCCAAAGATGACTATATAGTTATGCTAAAACTCATACTTAATTTAGAAATTGGATCCTCTCTCTTATTAGCAATGTGTTCTTATATGTGTTATACTCTGGAAGTTTCTGTTTATCTTCTCTACAATGGTGGTGATAAGCTACATAACAAATGGTTCGTTTTGAGTGGTCATATAAAATCACAAAGATGAAGTGTTTTAACTCAAATCTTTGACTTGAAAACATAAAAGTATTCGGGTTATTGTAAGTAGTATGCCACACCACAATGGACTAGGAATAAGAGTGTGAATGTTTCCTCTCATTTAAGAAAAATGATGAAATTATATTAATTTCTTAGCACAGAAATTGAATGACTTATAACAAAATAAGACTGAAAGAGAAAGGTCAACATCCCCTACAAGTAGAAAGTGAGCAGTAAGTTACTCAAGTACATTGAAATAGAAAAGCAGCTTGTGTTACTTTAAGTTATGCCATTAAGTTCAATCACTGAAGAAATGGCTTGAGCCAGGTAAAGTAATGTATGACTGTAGTCTCAGGACTTGGGAGGCAAAAGGGGTAGGAGTTTAAGGTTGTCTTCTACTATATAGCAAGTTTGAGGCCATCGTGGGCTACATAACACCTAGTTTAAAAAAAAAAGAGAGAGAGAAAAGGTTGTTTCACATGGAATCAAAAAGAGCAGCTAGGAATAGTCTATGATTGTTTCTTAGATAATAAGGATAGAGGTTGAAGACAGAATTGCCTTAAGAACAGTAGCCAAGAAAACTTAGTTCATTGAGAGAAAATCAGGGATCATTCATTCTTTGTTACTAGAGCCTCTTATAAGAATACTCACCCCACTTACTGGATAACCAGAGACTTCCAGATGGCACGCTCTCTCTTTTAAAATATCTACTCAACATTGGCATCCTTCATAATATAAATGAGGACTGGCAAAATGGCTCAGCAGGTTAAGCACTTGCTACCAAGCCTTGCAACGTGAGGTCTACCCCTGGAATGTGCATGGTAGAAAGAATCGACCCCCCACAAAATACCCTCTGACCTCTGCATGTGCCCCAAGGAATGCATGCACACCAAATAAGTAAGTAAGTAAATAAATAAATAAATAAATAAATAAATAAATATTTTAAAGTAATATTGATCATAAAAAATATACTTTAAGTAATAGGCTTTATATTTTTCTTCAAAAACTGGTGCTTTATAAGTATATGTACAAGTAATAAAGGCATTCCTTTATTACTCTCTTCTCTAAAACTCATTAAAATTCTACAGTGGCTGAAACCCAATGATAATTTTAATCTTCCAGGAGAGCATGAATGCTAGCCTAACTACAAACTTCAGCACATCCCTGCCAAAAGCTGTGATACTGGGAGCATTCTAAGGCTTGATGCCTGCATGGAGATATTGCTGTCTCTCTGTCTCTCTGTCTCTGTCTGTGTCTTTCTCTCTGTCTCTCTGTTTCTGTCTCTGTTTCTGTGTGTCTCTGTCTCTCTGTCTCTCTCTGTGTGTCTCTAAATATACGTGTGTGTGTGTGCATTCCTGAGTGTCTATATCTACAACTAGTTATGAATTTTATATGTTAACATTTTCAAAACAAGACAGTAAAGATCTAACAATTCCTGACCCAAGCAGTTCATGATTTTTTACTTTCTTGAGATGCTACTCTTTGACCTGGCTATATTACAGAAAACACTGTGACCATAGCTCCATTCTACTGAGTAGTGGATAGTGTCCCAAACAAGGAACTGACACATATTCATATAAACAAGGTTATAGCTGTAAGGGAAGGGAGGGGACAATCAATATCACATGAATGATCAGGCAACACAAAAGAAACTTAACAACAATTCAATATATTTTAAAACAAAGGTTTGTAAGAATGATCCACACTGGTCCAAAATTATCTCCATTTCATCTGGAATGCTCAGAGAACAAAGTGGATGATGGTGTGACACACTGGCTTGGAGTAGATGAGGCAAAATCATTTCTAAGAAAATAGTCTTCTCCTCTTATTCTTTGTAAAGGGCTGACCTTGGCATCTGTTTCGACCCCATTGAAAAACAAGGCAAAAATCAGAAAGCATTCTGTAACAAAACTAGGTTAAAGAAAAGTGGCGTAAAAGAAGAGAGCTGGGGGCTGACTCGGCAGGTAGAGTACTTGCCCTGCATATTTGAAAACCCAGAACCCACGAAAGAGTCAGGCATGGTAGCACATATATAATCCTGCCACTCCTACAGCAAGATGGGAAACAGAGAATTCTAAAGAGCTCCTGGCCCCAGCTAGCCTGGTACACACAGCAGCCAACAACAACAGCAACAATAACAAAAGTGACCCTGTCTGCAGGGTCATAGTGACCCTGTCATAGAGGTAGAGAAGTGACATCCTATGTTAACTTAGGACCACATGACCTGTGTGGACCCCTACACACACAAAAGCTTTGAAAAGAAGAAAGATACAAAAGAAAGAGAGAACACATGAAGTATTACTTACTAAAAAGCAATTAGTGAGCCAGGTGTGGTGGCACATGCCTTTAATCCCAGCCCTCAGGAGGCAGAGGCAGGTAGATCCCTGAGTTTGAGGCCAATCCGGTTTACAGAGTGAGTTTCAGGACAACCAGGACTACCCAGAGAAACCCTGTGTTGAAAAACCAAATTGTGTGTGTGTGTGTGTGTGTGTGTGTGTGTGTGTGTGTGTGTGTGTGTGGTGTGGTGTTACATATAACAATACTTCCACGTGTGCAATGGGATGTTCCTCCCCATTTAAATATATATAAAAAATTTAAATCATTCCACAAAAATCCTAAGCAACAAGAACGATAATGGACATAGCTAAAAATAACATCACTGGACATAGAAAAAGACTGAAAAAACTGAATTTCATAATAGTATATCCAAGTGTTTAATAGAAAAAGTGATCTACTCACATCTTACAGGGAGGGCACCTGTTGTCTTCCTGTCTCTGTGCCTCTTCTCTATGCTGAGAACTACATGAAGCCCCAAATTATACCAACCATGTACTCACCTCCTAAGTGTATTTTAGCTGTACCATATGCTAAAATTCCTTGCCTAAATGAGACGTGTGTTCATTTGTATGCTGATCTCTTTTGATGGTCCATCCTTCTTGGTCTGTATCACTTGTATATACTTATAGGCAGATTCAGTGTGGCACCTGACCAATGTTTCATGTACATCATGTGCATAATGTCTAGTCATCTCCTAATAAATGTAAGGGAGACACTGACTACTTCTAGTCACAAAGCAGTGGCAAAGGTAACAGGGTGTCACTCTTGGTTATTGACAAAGGTGGTGATGTGGTACAGCCACAGTTATATTACATATTAATTATAATATATAATTTATTATAGTTATGACTATATCATAGTCATGAGCCACAGTAAGTGTTTTTTCAGTAACGGACATGTTTACAACGCTGGTCTCATAAGACTATATTGCCTACAGAAGGGATAGCTTTTTTAACTTATGTAGCTAAACACAAGGATAGTCACACAATGACAAAAATACCTAAAACCTCATTTTTCAGAATATACCTCTTTATTAAGAGACATGAGACTCTGTAACACGAAAACTTCACAATCATTAGGACTTTACTATGTTAGAACTGGAAATATTTTGTGCTGGTAGGCTCATTGGTTTAATGAATGCATTTCTTTTTTTTTTTTTTAAATTGTGTGTATGGGTGTTTTGCTGCATGTATGTATGTGCACTATAGGTGTGCCTGGTACCAAAGGAGGCCAGAAGAGGGTATTAGATCTCCTTGGGTTGTGAGATACCATATGGGTACTCAACATCAAACCTGGGTCCTCTGCAAGAGCAGCCAGTGCTCGTATCTTCTGAATCTTCTCTCCAGCTCAATAAATACATTTTTACAATGATATTTTGACTTGATTGCTCTTGACTTGTGATGAGTTTACTGTGACTTCCCCTTTCACATCCTACATTACACTAGCATCTACAGTATATTATATCAAATACATTCCTGTTTCCTGTTCCGTGATACAGAGTTTCTGCATATTGTCTTTGAAAAGAGCAAGCCGTATTTCCCATGCCACCAAGAAAATGAATTCTCCATTATTTTGAGGGTACTTGGTAGTACAGCCTCCCGCATGAAAGCCACAAGGTGATCATGATGATAGGATGGCATCCCAAATGCTCAAGTATTATATGTGGTCTCCTATAGACCATGATGCAACAAGGATGGTGGGCAAGGAGGGAGAATAGAGAAACAGACTAGGGCTGAATTTTCTAAAGCTGGCGTGGTCTG